ACTGGGCTCTCACGGTGGTGATGGGCAAGGGATGGAAGATTTGGAGTCTCATTGTGGTGCTGCTGTTTGGGATCAGTGGAATTGTTTGGGATGGGGTGAATTGTGGGATTTGGGCCTGATCCTGTCCCTGGTGCAGGAATGAGCGTTGCAATGAGAACTACACCACAGATTTCATCTACAACCTCTACTGCGAGGAGGGCAAAGGGATTTTTGACTGCCGGAAAAACGTCCTGGGGCACATGCAGCAGGTGGGAATGGGGTGAGGGTTTGGGAATTCCCCCAGGAACAGGATCGGTGTTCAGGGGATTTCCCTGGGAAGGGGATTGGGATTTGGGGGATTTCATTGGCTCATCCTGGATTCTCCTGGGGCAGGGAGGCAGCCCCACCCCCTTTGACCGTAATTTCGGCACCAAGATGGGCGCCAAGGCTGTGGCCTGGATCACCGGGAAGATCAAGGAGTGCTCCCGGCATGGTGGGTGCTGCTGGATGGGGGATCCCAAAGGGGCCCCAGAGTGACCCTACATTCCCAAACCATTCCCAAAAAGCCCTCCTGTGGATTCTGGGGGATGTTCCCCACTCCTGGATGATCCCAAACATTCCTAACCTCCCCTCCCATGTTTTTGAAAGGTCCCAAATATTCCCAACCTACCCTCCCATAGGTTTTACCTTCATGCAGCATCCCCAGCATTCCCAACCCCTGCTCCAGGAGGATCGCAAACATTCCCAACTTCCTGTCCCAGGTGTTTTCCCATCCCTGAAGATTACCAAACATTCCTACCATTCCCCCCCACGTCCCTGGAGGATCCCAACCATTCCCAACTCGCCTCCAGGAGGTTCCCCACCATTCCTGTGTTCCTCCCAGGCCGGATCTTTGCCAACACAGCGGACTCGGCGTGCCTGCTGGGGATGCGCAAGCGCAGCCTGGTGTTCCAGCCCATCGCTGAGCTGCGCCAGCAGACGGATTTCGAGTGCGTCTCCCTCCCTGTCCCTGCCTTCCCCACCCTGGGAAAGTGGGACAAAGCCTGGGATCCCTCCCCAGGGATATCCCCAGTCTGTCCCTGTCCCCTCAGGCACCGCATCCCCAAGGAGCAGTGGTGGCTGAAGCTGCGGCCCATCCTCAAAATCCTGGCCAAGTACAACATCGAGCTAGACACGTCTGAGACGGCGCACCTGGAGCACCTGACCCGCAAGGTCCTGGTCCCCGAGGCCACCCTGTGACAGGGACAGCAGCCACTGCCAGCCTGAGGAACCCCAAAAATCCCCTTTTCTCACAGCGTCCTGGGGCTTTTCAGGGATTTTATGATTTTATGGGATTTTGAGAAGGGGTCCCCAAGCAATATCAGGATAAATTGAGGATGGATGGTGGAGGTTGAGGTTTTTAGGGTTAAAAGTCATAAAGTGGAGATGTTTCAATAAATTCAGTGCTTGTCCAAGTGCTCCAGGTGTCTGTGAATCCATGGAAAGGCAAACCTGGACCCCACTGACACCAAATCCCTCCTCATCCTCAGGATTTCCCTGCCCAGCATAACACAGAGGGATAAAACAGGTAAAATTTGTGCCCCAAGTTCATCCCAGAAAATAACAATAACAGTTTTTAGCCACTTGGTTTCACCTTGGAGATCTGCTCTTCCATTGGATCCTGGAATAGATCCCAAACCCCCCCTCCTCAAACCAACATCAAAGGGTGAATTCCTAGAGGGAAACCTCAGGAACCTTGAAGAGGTGGGAGGGAAGCCCTCAGCTTCATGTGGAGCTCTCTGGAAAAGATTTCTTTCACCTACAAGAATTCCAGCCCTGCAAAATTTTGGTTTTTGAGGTGGTTTCTTGATGCAGCATAAAAGTTATGGATAAACAGTCAGAACTTCACTCTCCATGCTGGAGAAACACCTGGATCTTTGATTTTCAGCCAACCCATCCCACAGGATTACTCTGCATCCCAACCTACAATTTGTTGCCTTGGGTCCTTCCTCAAAGGAGACTTTTCCTTTAAAACCTTCCTTTTGCAAGGAAAAAAAAACAAAAAAAAAAGGGGAAAAACAGATCAATCCAACAGCTGGGATATAATTTGCCATCAGAGGGATATTGTTCATTGCAGGAGAGTGAAATGGGGGGACAGGGAGAGAAGCAGAGGGAACAGAAAGGAGGAAATGGAGGGAGCATGACAGAACAGGGGGAGAAAGGGAGGGGACAAAATGGAAGGGCCAAGGGGAGGAAAGGGAGGCAGCGTGAGGGGCCAGCAGGGTGCTGGGTGGCCGAGGGGAACAAAAACCACGGAGAAGAACCTGGGAAGTGACAAAGTGAGCAGGGATCCTCCGGGGAGGGGAAGGGCAGCTGTCCCTGGCTTAGGTGAGCAGCAGCAGGTACTCCTTGAGGCAGGCAGGCAGCGGCAGCTGCTGCACGGCCTGGGGCAGGAAGCGCAGGCCGAGCGAGCGGCGCACGGCATAGCGCGACAGCGCCTGCAGCGTGCCCGGTGCCGAGCACAGCAGCGTCAGCCGCTGGCACAGCTGCGGGTCGCGGGCCACCTCCCAGGGCAGGCTCCCGTTCTTGCGCAGCTCGAAGTGTCCCGTGGCTCTGTGCAGCAAATCCAGGCAGGAATCCTCCCGCTCCGTGCCCAGGCCCCGCACCAGCAGCGCCACCAGGCGCGAGATGGGGCTCTGGCCCTTCAGGTTGACAACGCGCACCTCGGCGCCGAAGTCCAGCAGGATGCTGACGCTCTCCAGGTTGCCCTTCATGGCCGCCCAGCTCAGGGGGGTGTCGTTGTTGTAGTCCAGGGCGTTGACCAGGGCGCCGTTGGCCAGCAGGGCCCGCACGCACTCGGCGTTGTTCTTGAAGGCCGCCCAGTGCAGGGGTGTGTCCTTGTTGCCGTCCAGGGCATTGGGGTTGGCTCCGTACTCCAATAAAATCTCCACGCAGGTTTCATCTTTTTCTGCTGCGTAGTGAAGGGCTGTCCGGTTGTAGCCATCCAGGGCGTTCACCTGGGGGAGAAAAAAAAAAGGTTTGGGGGTCAGGGAGTGGCTCCGGCTGGATCCTGCAGCAAGGGAAGAGCTAAAGGTCCCAAATCCCAAATGTAGGGAAAAATAAGGAAGGGTTTTAGCCAAGTAGCCAGAGGAAAGTGGGGTAAAAAAACCAGCAAATGTAGGGTTTAATTCCTCCTTCCCAGCCTCCTGAAATCTCAGTGCAAAAATTTATGTTTCAATCCTTCCTCCTCTCTCGAAAATCTCAGCCCAAGAATTCCCTCCCTGTTGGGACAGTGAACCTTCCCCTGGTGCCGCTTTGTGAGGAGATACAAGCCCATGGAATATCCTGGGGTGGAAAAGACCTACAAAGATCTCCAAATCCAAGCCCTGGCCCTGCACAGGACACTCAAAAACCCCCCCCTATGCTGAGAGCATTGTCCAAACCCCAGTTTCCGGAGCTTGCGACACTCTGGGGGAAGAACGTTTTCCCAAAATCCAACTTAAGCACATCAGCTCCAACATCAGCTCTTAATCAGCTCTTCCTGACTTCCCTGCCCCTTATCTCGGAATTTTCCACCTGTTTTCGGTTTTTCCAAAGCTTTACCTCAGCTCCTTTTTGCAGCAGCAGCTCCACGCAGTCGGCATCAGCCACCATGCAGGCACAGTGCAGGGGTTTGAGGGTGCCGTGCAGGCAGTTCACATCGGCGCCCTGGGGAGCACAGGAAAACCGCCGGTAAGGAACTCCCCATTTCCATCCCTTCAGAAAGGGTTAATTCACACAAACCCCGAGGGTTTGTAGGAACCGCCTCGGGGTCAGCAAAACCCATCCTTTCCCTGCCCTTCCCATCCCTTCAAGAAAGGCTTAATTAGGAGAAATGCCGGGGGTTTATTCGCAAAAACACTCCCGGTCTTAATTCCAGCTCCCGCTTGTGTTTCACTAATTCACTGTCACCAAACGGTGCCCGGAGACCCCCAGACACACCGCCAGCCCCGGGGGTTCGGAGGGTGGAAGGAAAAGCCTGGAGTCTCTAAACCAACCGGAGATGCCCTGATCTTCCCCTCCCGGGAAAACCCCTCCAAGGGATCCCCACGGAAGCTCCGCAGGGAGCGGGACAGCCGGCGACAGCTCGGCAGTGCCCGTCAGAGGCACCCGGAGTCCGGGGGGGACTCAAGCTGGCCAGCCCGACCGCGGAAGGGCTGGGATGTCCCGGCCACGGGGCCTCACCCGGCCGATGAGATCCTCCACGTTGTCCCGAGGGAAGGAGCGGATGGCGGCGATGGTGCGGATAAGGCGCTCGGACAGCGAGTACTTGCTCTGAATGCTCTGCATGATGTACCACATGGCGCGGGCCGCACCGCGGCATCCCCGGCCGGCCCCGCCGAGCCCCGCGCCGGACCCGGGGCGGGGAGGGAGCGGCCCGGGCCGGACCGAGCCGCAGGAGAGTCCGGAGGTGGAGCGGCGGCTGTTCCGAAGGAATGCGGAGTGGCCCCGGAGCGGTCGCGGGGGCGGTTCCGGGGTCCCGAGCCGCTCCCGGACCAGCAGCGGCGGCTGGCCAAGCTGGACGCGGAAATACCGCTAACCAGAAGTGACGTCACACCAAGTGCCCCGCCCGACCGCCTCGCCACAAATCCGGCTCCTGCTCCCGAGCCGGTCCCGCCCCCTCCATGCCTGTCCTCCAATCCCCAGCACCGATCGCTCTTAAGCCACGCCTTCCATCAGATTTTCACCAATCCGCGCTTTCCTAAGATCACGAAGGCCCTCCCCCTCCTCCATAGACCCCCCTCCTCGTAACCCCCATAATTTTCCCCCAATTTTCCCCATTTTTTCCCAATTTGCCTCCATATCCCGCTTTCCCCTTAGGCCACGCCCACACCAACCTAAGCTACCAACCAAAAGGAACGCAGGAACACAACCTCGATACGCCCGGGGGGCCGGGCCTCGCCGTAGAGAGGCCACACCCCCCTACCCCGGCCCCACAAACGGACCCAAAACGGCACCAAAATTGGAATTTTTTTTTTATTCCTTTTAACAACTTCTGCCTCCAGTTATCTCCAGGTATAGCATCCAGGGAAGCCCCGGAGCTCCTGTTCAGGAGCCTCGGATCCCGTCAGAGATCTCTGTTTGTCCTTTATGGCCGTGGGTTGAGATCCCACTGGGAGCGCCCGCCCCTCGCCAGCCGCAGACCAGAGCCCTAAATAAAGAAGATTAAATTCCTGGCTACCGAATATCGGGGTGGCTATCGCAATTTGGGGGGTGGCTACTGAATTCTGGGCGGGCTTGGTTACAGAATTTGGGGGGTTGGCCTCTGAATTTGGGGAATAGCTACTGCATTTGGAGGTTTTATCTTGACTTCGGAGGAAAAGCGGTGGAATAAGGGAGGGTCAAGGAGGAGGGGGTGGAGCTGGAGAGCTCCCAGTGCTCCTAGTATCACCAAGCCCCCCTACCAGTAACCCAAACACCCCCTCCCAGTGCTCCCAGGAATCCAAATTCTCTCCCAGTAACCAATCTCCCCTTCCAGCCCCTCCCAGAGCCCCCAGGTCCCTCCTGGGACTTCCTATATCCCCTCCCAGTCCCTCCCAGTTTATTCCAGCCCCCACAGATTCCCCTCTCCACATCTCCCGGTTTATTCCAAGGCCCCCAATCCCCTCCCAGTTCCTCCTAGCGCCCCCAGTACCTGTACCTCGCTTGTCCCAGCCAAGGGGGGCACTGAGGGGGGAAAGGGGCGTTAGGGGTTTTTTTAAGGTCACCCCACAGATCAGGGTCAGGGGTTTCTCTGGGAGGGCTTGGGGTCCTGCAGGGGGTTTGGGGAGCTCTGGGCTCCTTCTGTGGGGGTTTGGGGTCCCTGTGGGGAGAGATCAGGGGTTTGGGGTCACACCATGGGGGATGAGGCCCTATATGAGATTTTAGGGTCCCTCCTAAAAAGGGATGGTGCTTGGAGCTGAAGGGCAGGGCTTGGGACATTACCTTGGGGTAAATCCTGTAGGATTTGGGGTCACTCACCTACGCTGGAGGTCCCTGAATTTCTGTAGGCTACGCCAGCCTGTGGGAGGAGAGAAAACCATTATGGGAACCCCCCTATTTTGGGGTGGCCCCCATTTGGGGTGAGGTCTCACCTGCCATCCTGGGGTGCTGTGGGACTGGGGGGGCTCCAGTGGGGCCAAGCGGCTGCAAAAGAGAGGAGGGAAGTTTGGGGGACCCCCCCCCGTGAAACTGAGGGACCCCCATCCCAAGTTAGGATGCCCCACACCCCTTACCTGACCACTTGACTGCTGAGCTGCCGGCGGGGCTGGGGGGTGACTGGAAAGGAGACAGAAAATTTGGGAGAATCCCTATGGGCAAGGAGGGGATGAGGAGCTGTTTTACGGTGTGGAAGACTCCCCTACAAATTTGGGGGGCACTTACCTGAATGTGTGGGGGAGGGACGGGAGGTGCTGCTGTGGCTGCTCCAGCGCCAGCCTGGGGAGAGCTGTGTGGGGAGATTTGGGGGAGACAGTTTTGGGGGTGAGGGAAGGGGCAGGAGGGCTTTGGGGGGGAGTTTGGGGGCCAGGGAAGGGGAAGGGGGGCTTTAGGGGCCACCTGCATGCGGCGCAGCTCCTCATTCTCCCGGCGAAGTGACTCCAGCTCCCTGGGAAGGGGGAGGATTTAATGGAGGGTGGGTTTTCCCCCACATTTGGGGTGGGGGTCCCTCCATAGTGCAGCTGAGGGGGGCAGAGCAAGGGGGTGGGAACTCACCAAGATGGCAGTGAATGGCAGAACATGCTGTCACCAATGTGGCAGCCAAGGGGGGATAAGACCCTCCCAGAAAAGGGGCCAGAAGGCTGAGGACTGTCATTAAGGTGTTGACCAAGGAGTGCTGCCTCACCCACATGCCCAGAGGAGCCCAAGATGGAGGTATGAACCCCCTTCCATAGCGTCCCCCTCACCTCCTCCTCTCCCCCAGCTCCTCTCTGGCCTTGTCCAGCTCTGCCTGCACCCGCCGAGTTCTGTCCCGGTGCAAGTCCACCAGAAGTTGTGCCTGTGCCATCTGGAACCGCCACACCTGGGGGATGTGGGTCACTCCCTTGTACCCCCCAGTGTGTGGGGTGGGGACAGTGGTGGAACTTCATCCTCCGTCACCCGTGTCCTCCTTACCTGCGTGATGTGGGCAAGGTGCTTGAGGGCGAGGGCCACTGGGTTCTTGAAGAAAACCTTCTCCTCTGGGCGCATCTGTTGGGCATGGGGGTGTCAAAAGGATGGGAAGAAGGTTGGGAACGGGAAGGGAAAAGGGTAGGAAGGGGATGTGGGGAACAACATGGAGGACACTGGCCTGATCAGATATGGGCAGGTAGCGGCAGGTGGTGCCACAGACTGGGCAGGGACCTGTGGGAAGGGGAGAAAAAATTGAGAAAAATGAGAGAAAAATATGTCCAAAAGTCCCAAAAATTGTGTTCCTTGAGGGAAATGGACCATTTCCCTTCATTTTAGGGTTTTAAATTGAGGCAGGATCCTCCATTTCCACCATGCTAAGGGTATAAATTGAGGAGAAATTCTCCTTTTCCCATAATTTAAAAGACAGAAATTGAGGGGAAACCCTCTTTCCCCAATATTTTAGGAGTTTAAATTGAGAGCAGAGCCCTCACTTATTTATTTCCTTGAGTTGAGGTGACCCTTCCTTTCCCTCTCATTTTAAGGGGCTAAATTGAAGGAAACTCCCTCTTTCTCAGCATTTAAAGGGCTTAAACTGGGGGTTTCCCTCAATTTTACCTGAGCCCCCACAGCCCTCGCACAGGATGTGGCCGCAGTTGGTGATGGCAAAGCGGGCGCCATCCTGGCGGAAGCAGTGACAGCAGTGGAACCAGTCCATGGTGGTGCTGGAGCGAGGAGCCGCCTGTGCTGCCTCCACACAGGAGAGCCTGGGAGGGAATGAGGGGGAAAGGTGAAGGGAAAAGAGTGGGAAAAGGTGAGAGGAAAAAGAGACGGAAATGTGAGGGGGAAAGGGTCAGAAATGTGAGGGAAGAAGGGCTGGAAGCGTGAGGCCAAAAAGGGCGGGAAATGTGAGGGGGAAGGGGTCAGAAATGTGAGGGAAGAAGGGCTGGAAGCGTAAGGCCAAAAAGGGCGGGAAACGTGAGGGGGAAAGGGTCGGAAATGTGAGGGGAAAAGGGTTGGAAACATGAGGGGAAAAAACAGCAGGAAAGGTGAGAGGAAGAGGGGTGGGAAAAGGGAGGAAAAAAAAAGTGTGGGAAACATGAGAGAAAAAAGAGTGGGAAATGTGAGGGGGAAAAGGGCGGAAAAGGTGATAAAGGAAATGGTGGGGGAAAAGAAGAGAAAAAGAGCAAGAAAGGGGAGAGATGAAAAAAGTGGGAAATGTGAGGGGGGAAAACGCCACCTGGATGGGGACAGGGAAACCAGGATTGGGACATGAGTATGGGGACAGCAACACCTGGACCTATGGGGGCAGATGGGGATAAGGACATCAAGATGGAGACACCAGGATGGAAACAGGGACACCAGGGCAAGCCTGTGGAGACATTGGGAGTGGCATGGGGACACATGAATGGGGGTGTCAGGATGGGGACACTGTGATGGGGATGGGGACCCCCAGTGGGGACAGGGATTCCAGAACCCTGGGGATGGGGTCCCCAGGATGGGAATCCTGGGATTTGGGCACATGGATCTGCTGATGACATCAATTAAATGTCTCTGAGCAGCCTTGTTCCACTATATGGATTTGGGGACTCCAGCCAGGGGTGATGACGTTGTCCAACTGTGAGATTTTGGGGTCACCTCCAGTGATCCCAGTATGGCCATGCAGAGCTTTTCCCATCCTTCAGGAACCAGTGCCTGGGGTGAGGGAAGGAGATGGAGACCCCACACTCTCACCCCAGCACCCCTAAACCCTTTGGGGGGCTTTGGGGGCATGGGGTGCAGGGGGAGCACCCCAAAACCCTGATCTTACTATTCCATGCTCCCAGAATCACAAAATTCTGCTAAATCTTTGGCTGTGTTGCATAATCCCAACAATTTTTAATTGGGAGGTTGGGGGGCAAAAAAAGCACCCCCAGAATATCGGGGGAGGGGCTCAGCGTTTGGAGGGCACAGGAGTCACCCCAGAACCCCAATCCTATCATGACCTGATCCCAAAATCCCTCCATGCCACTGTTGAACCCTCCAGCCTCGCTGTGCGATTCCGACCATTTTTAATTATAGGGATGGCGGGGGCGGGGAGCAGAAATGCATCCCCAGGCCCTCGCGAGGGAGAATCTGGGGGGCATAGGGGCCACCCCAAAACCCCGATCCCCCCGAATCCCTCTATCTCGGGATCCCGTGATCCGTCATTGTGTAATTCCAGCCAATTTCTGATTCCCGGGGGTCGGAGGGAGAGGGGCAGGAAACGCCCCGATAAAACCCTCTGAGGGATCATTCAGGGATTTGGGGGGGGGCGCAGGGGACGCCCCGAAGCCCCCATCCCGCCGTTGCCGGAATCCCTGGATGCCGCTGCCGAGCCCTCCGCCCTCGTTGCGTAATTCCAACCATTTTTAATTCCCGGGGGGGGCAGGAAACGCGTCGCTGCCGTTACACAAAGCAGGAAGAGGGGAGGGAGAAGTCTGGGGGTGCTGCCTGTCCTTATTCCCCTTAAACCCACCCCGCCTCCCCCCCTTCCCCCCCGAGATCCATCTCCCGCTTGGAAAACACCCCCCTTTATAACAAAATAACCAAACCCCAACAATTCAGGCACTTCGCACAATTCCCCCACTCAATACCGGGCGGTTCGGGGGTGTCCGTGCTGCGACCCGCCCTTTTTTTTTTTCCCCTAGGGGTTCCCCCCGCACAAATTCCCTTTTTCCAAGGTTTCCCCCCCACTTTTCCCAGCGTTTTTTCCCCGCTTTTTTCCCAGCGGCGCATCCGGCGGGGAATGGGATGACGGGACCTTCCTGTTCCCGGCCCCGCGCTCGCCTCACGCCCGGGGGACGCCCCCGCCACGACCCCCCCCGCACCCCCGAGCCCGACGGGACCCCCGGAGCCACCCCCGGAACCCTCCGGAACGCCCCCGGCCCCTCCCGCGCCGCGGAGCCGCCGAGGTGAGTCGGGGGGCGCGGGGGGAGGGAAACGAGCCCGTTTTTTGGGGGGAAAAGGGGACGGGAAAAAGCGGAGACACCCCCTCCAGAAAATTTGGGAGATCCCCTTCCCCCCAGTTTGGGATACCCCGATGTTAGATTTGAGATGGGGGAGGCGATGGCGGAGGGGCGCCGTTGGGGGGGCTGGAAAAGAGGGAAAAAGGAGAGTGGGAACCCTCCCACAAAAAAACTGGGAGGACATCCCCCCCTCCCTCCTCCACCAACTGGAGATACCCCCGGGCATGGATTTGGGATGGGGAGGCGACGGCGGAGGCATGGCAAAAGATTTGGGGCGGGGGGGATGTGGATGAACGGCGGATGTTGGGGGTGGAAAGGAGAGAGAATAGAGCGGGGACTCCCCCAAAAAAATGTGGGAGATCCACCCCGTCCAGCTGGGGATACCAAGGGGATAGAGCGGAACGATGGATTGGAGCCGGGGGGGTGGGGCGGTGGAAATGAGGCGCCGTTTGTAGGGTTGGAAAAGACGGAAAAAGGAGAGCGGGGAACACTCCCCCCCCCCCAAAATTCAGGAGATCCCTCTCCGATTTGGCATACACCCGGTCTTGGATTTGGGAAGGGGAAGGCGGTGGCAGGGGGGCGACAATGGAAGGGGAGGGGGGTGTGTGCCGTTTTTAGATTTGGAAAAGAGGGAAAAAGGAGAGTAGGGACCTCCCACAAAAATTTGGGAGACCCCTCCCGCAGTTGTGGATAACCGCCGTCTTGGATTTGGGACGGGAGGGGAGATGGATTTGGGGCTGGGAGGAGGGATCAGGCTCTGGTTTGCGGGGGGCAGAAAGGGGGCAATGACAGTGGGGACCCCCTCAAAAAAATTTGGGAGTCTCCCCCCAAAAATTTGGGTTACCTCCATGTTGGATTTGAAGGGGGGCGCTGTGGATGAACCATTTTGGAAGGGGGGAAAAGAGAGTGGGCATCCCTCAAAAAAAACCTGGGAGTCCCCCCCAGTATTCGATTTGGGGTGGGAGGTGAATTTTGGGGAAGGCTCCTGGGGCTCTTGTTCTTTTGTGCCCCCTTCGAAAAATTAAAGTGGGGGGGGAGCAAACTTGGGGGAACTGGGAGTAATTTGGGAGCACCCTGGGTGATTTGGGGGGTCCTGGGTGATTTTGAGGGGCACTGGGTGACCCCCCGCTTTGTCAACCCCCCCATCTGCATCCCTCCATCCCCCTCACCCCAGATTTTAGGGGCTGAGTCTGGAGCAGCTGCGAGACCCCCCTGCCCGAGACCCTCAGAGAGCAGGTAGGAGGGGAATTGGGGAGTACAGGGTGATTTGGGGAGACACAGAGGGATTTGGGGTCACACAGAAGGATTTGGGGGGACACAAAGGGATTTTATGGGGTGAACAAGGATATTTGGGGGGGCACAGAGGGATCTGGGATCACATGGAGGAGTTTGAGATTACACTGAGGGATTTGTGGGGACATGAAGAGATTTAGGGTGACACAGAGATTTTGGGGGGAATAGATGGATGGGGGGGCAAAGAGGTTTTTGGGGGGGATGAGACTTAGGGGGGTACGAGGCAATTTCGGATCTCCCTGAAGGTTTGGACAGGTAACACAGAAGGATTTTGGTGGGGTACATGGAGATTGAGGGGGGCAAAAAAGGATTTGGGGTCACACTGAGAAATTTGGGGGGCACAGCAGAAACCAAGATGCAAACAATCCTTTGGAATTGTTTTGGAATTGTGGGGGGAGGCGGTTGTGGTTTTCTGCTGCTCAGGGGGGTCCTGGGGTGTTTTGGGGTGCTCAGGGCCTCCCTTGACTCTGCAGGAGGCCCCATGGAGCAGGACGAGCCGGACGTGGTGGAGCTGCAGGACTCGGATGAGGGGGACGTGGTCCGGAGGGTCTTCATTGGTGAGGGGGGGACCCCAAAAGTGGATGGGGGGGAATGAGGGGCTCCAGATAACCCAGAAAAGCAGTACAGAAAATTTTGGGGGGATCCAAATACTTTTGGGGGGGCTGTAGGAAAATTTGGGGGGCCCCAGGCACCCCAAGAAGGGGTGCAGGCAATTTGAGGGGCTCTAAGCAAATTTGGGGGGGCTCCAGATGCACCTAGAAGGGGGTAGAGGCATTGGGGATGGGGTTCAAGGCACTTCTGACATCACTGGAGAGGGGTAGAAGCGTTTGATGGGGGCTTAAAACACTCCTGAAACGGTTCCAGACCCCCCAAGAAGGGGTTATTGGGAATTTTGGGGGCCTTCAGGTACTTTTGGGGGGCTCCAGGCACTCCAGGAGGGGGCATAGCCCCTTTTTGGGGCACAGTGAGCATTTGGGGAGGGGTTGCAGCCCCTTTCTGGGGTGCACTGGAGAGGGCTATAGCCCCTTTTTGTGCCCCCTTTTGGGTCCCAACAAATATTTGGGTCAGGGGTCCAGCCAATTTTTGGGATCCAGTGAACATTTGGGATGGATGTCTGGCCCCTTTTTGGCGCACAATGAATATTTGGTCAGGGGTGCAGCCCTTTTTTTGTCACAATGAACATTTGGGTCAGGGGCCCAACCCCTTTCTGGGGCCCAATAAATATTTGAGGAGAAGGCCCAGCCCCTTTTTGGGTCACAACAAACATTTTGAGGAGTCTCCAGGCACCCTTTTAGGGCGCAATGAGCATTCAGGGAGGGGGCCCAGCCCATTTTAGGAATACAGGAAACATTTATGTTAGGGTCCTAGCCCATTTCAGGGTCACAGCAAATATTTGGTTTGGAGGTCCAAATGAGACCAGTGAAAGCCCTTCTGTGCTCTCATGTCCCCCCAGCCGATGACGGCATCGTGAGTGACGGCGAGGCCGAGGTGCTGCCGCACGAGATCATCCGCACGGTGATCCCGCACAGCCCCCTGCGCCCCCCGCCGCCCCGCGGGACCCCTGGCCCGGCCCCGGGGGACTCCGAGGAGGGCGGGGGGCGGCGGGGCGGGGGCCGCCAGCGCCCCTTCATCTGCAACGAGTGCGGCAAGAGCTTCAGCCACTGGTCCAAGCTGCTGCGGCACCAGCGCACGCACACGGGCGAGCGGCCCAGCACCTGCGGCGAGTGCGGCAAGAGTTTCTCGCAGAACTCGCACCTGGTGCAGCACCGCCGCACCCACACCGGAGAGAAGCCGTACAGGTGCGGCCACTGCGGCAAGAGCTTCTCCTGGAGCTCCAACCTCATCCAGCACCAGCGCATTCACACCGGGGAGCGCCCGTATGGCTGTGCCGAGTGCGGCAAGAGCTTCACGCAGAGCAAGAACCTCATCAAGCACCAGCGCACCCACGCCGGGTCCGGGGCAGCGCGGCCGCGGCGCTGCGCCCACCCCGCCGGTGCCCCGAGGGCTCTGAAGGGGCCTCGGCCAGGGGGCGAGGGCGAGGGGCCTGCAGGGGCCGAGGGCGGCTGCGGGCAGGAGCCGCTGATCTGCGTGGAGTGTGGGGAGAGCTTCGCCCGGAGCGCCGCGCTCAGGAGGCACCGCCGGGGGCACCGCCCGCTCTTCGTGCCCTGAGGGGACATTGCGGGGACAGTGCCCGCTCTTTGTGCCCTGAGGGAACATGGGGACGCTGTGGAGGGGGCACAGGGACATTGGGGCACTGTCCTTGCACTGCTAGTGGCGCCACCCGCTCTTCGTGCCCTGAGGGAACATGGGGACACTGTGGAGGGGGCACAGGGACAGTGGGGCACTGTCCTCGCACTGCTGGGGGCACCGCCCACTCTTTGTGCCCTGAGGGGCACGGGGACAGTGGCACCGGGACATGGGGACACACGGATAGTTGGGGCATCATCCGCTTTTCATGCCCTGAGGGGACACCCTGGTGGGGACACAAGGACTGTTGGATAATGCTCTGGCAGAGCCTGTTGTCGGAGACCAGTGGGGACACACAGACAGTGGGCCACCCTGGTGGGGGACACAGGGACTGTGCTACAGACAGGAGACATGGTGCCACCATGTGAGGAGACACAGGGAGTGTTCCATGGGCAGGACGTGGTGACAGAGCTGGGGTCACACGAGTTATGCCACAGGTAAGGGAATGTGACACCAAGCTGGGAGACTGTGGGGGGGCACCTGGACTGGGACAAGGACAGGACACAGTGACTCCAAGGTGGAGGACACACAGGACAGAGTGACACAGAGCTGATGTCCCCAAGCCTACCCCGCGCCCTGTGTCACCCTCGGTGCCCCTCGCTGTTCCGTGTCAGTACCACATCCCAGAGCTGTAAATAGGGGAAGGGACACGGGGAAAGGGGGGGGGGGGGGGGACGGTGACACCGGGACCCCCCTGTGGGGTGTGGAGAGGGCATGGACAGGGCTGGGCTGTGAATAAAGTTGTGTTTTGGGGGAACTGGGTGTTGGTTTTAGGGGGTGACAAAAATGGGGGGGGACGTGGCGGGGGGGAGAACCCTGGGAGAGAGAGTTGAAATCCCTGAGGGAGGGAGGGCAAAAAGCCCCCAGGAGGGGAGTTTGAGGGCCTCAGGGGTTTGGAGAGTCTCGGGTCAGTCTCTGCAAAGCCCGAAAGGACAGGAGAAGTGACAGAGTGAATTTGGGGGTCAAAAAAGGGGTCTCAAAACTTGTAAGGGATTGCAGGGAGGTCCCAAATTGGAAGGGTGTCGGGGGGACCCCAAAACCGAGAAGGGTGTTGGAGGGGCTGTTTCAGGAGGTGGCCGCCCACTCTGGGCATATATTTTTCTTTGATTTCTTTTGCTTTTTTGAGAATGACTTTTCTGTGGTCATCAATTTTCAACAATCTGATATATTAAACTTTCCACAAACACCCCCTTCTCTGGCCAATAAATAGTCTAAAGCCAACTTATTCTGATACACTACAGTTTTTGTTTGGCTTGGCTGACTTGATATTAAGTCTAATGCCTGGGCGGCTCCATTTGCTATCATTTCTATAACTGCTTGGAGTCTTGTAATACGACTCAATAGATAATTTGGGGTCAATACAGAATTAAATTGCTGTGCTGGTTTTACCTTTTTGTTTGTTATTTGTTTTTTTACCAAATCTTGAACCCTATCTTCAAGAATAATTTAAAACAAATCCATCTCTCTCCCTTTGGACATTCAATTCCAAATCTATTACCACTTTTTCCTAAGTTTCTTTTAATCCAATAATTTACTCCGTTTTGCCTACAGGTTCTTAATTTGGATGGGTTATAACAGTGGCTGTTGACATAGGTGGGTGTAATAAAGGAGGAACTTTGGTTTCTTTCCATGTGATACTTTCTGTAGCATTTGTGACACAGTCTTGCTGGTATCCCTAAAGGGAAAAGACAACAAATGAGTGCCAAAAACAGGAATAACAGAGGTCCAGTATGGCTTATACTCCCACCTCCCATGCCTGTGAGGTTGCAACCCACAGCAGGTTTATTTGATCTTCTCAGTGGCGAAATACAGAGGCCAATCTGGTTTTGCCCTCTATTTCCTTGTCACTTTCTCTTAACTAATTTCCAGGCAAATTGTTTTTGACACCCTTTAACTGTGGTCTCTTACTGTTCCTCAGGTATCTCTCATTCAACAGGCACTAATAATTCCCATCCACAAAGCTAAGTTATTACTTTACCACTTTTTGCAATAAGAGCATGAATTTTGTGAACTACAATACTGATTATTCTCACAATTCAAGCATTTACTTATAACCCAGCTAGCATGTCCAGTATTGGAATGAATCAAATAAAGTTTACTGATGGAAATGGTAATTCCCCTTTTCCCCTGTACAATTCTCAGGCTGAGGTCAGAATACAAAAACAGTCTTGATCTTTCTGTCTGAAGTATTCCTCCCCGAAGGAGATGTTTTATTCAGGCAGTGCTTGAAACCAGTGATATAAGCATTATCTTATTTCTTAATTCACTGTTATTCTTTGTACATTTCTTGGATCATTTGGCTTTTTCCAAACTATTACCACTCAGTCCTCATTGGAAAGTCAGTTTGGTATCGCCCGGTTTCAATGTGATAGTCCATTCCTCAGGTTTCTTCACAAGTCCTTTGATTCTGCTGGCATGAATTCACTCTCTTTCCGTGATTCTGATTGTTGCTTCGGCAGTACCTGGAAAGGACTTCTTAATAGCATAGTAATAAAAGAAAGATAATACTGCATTAACTTTTACCATTCGCTTTTCTTCCAGACTCTCTGGGTTTAGCTAAAAGCTTTTTCCACAGCAGCCCCTTCTTGTTCTTTCCAGCTGTGCTAATAGCTGCAGAGGCAAATCCTTTTTGTGAGTTAGAGCTAGTTAAATTAGAACACCTGGACCAATTTTAACACGAGAGGTATTACATATATTGCTTTTTACTTTTTGGGCAGCATTTATTGTTTTAGCCTTATAATCCATTCTTCAGGAAAAAAACCCACTTTTTAGGGCTAGGGTATTTTTAGGGTTTTTGAGGGAATTTTTAGGGTCTTATCAGGGCATTTTAAGGATTTTTGGGGTATTTTTAGAGCTCTTTTTGGACTATTTAGAGTATATTTAGGGATTTTAAAAGGTTCTTTGGGCATTTTTAGGGGTGTTTTAGGGTTTTTTTAAAAGTAGGGTATTTTCAGTGTATTCTAACAGTATTCTGAGGCTATTTTTAGGTTTTCATGGGGTTTTTAGGACATTTTGAAGATTAGGGGGGTTTCAGAGAATTTTTGGGTTTTTCTAGGGTCGTTTCATGGCCCAACACATGGAGACTGAGGGGCAGCTTGAGGGGCACTGTGGGGGCTTGAGGGTGACAGAGGCTGGGAGCTGAGGGAGGAACAGAGAGAGGGGACAGCGAGTGACACACAGAGATGCCGAGGGTGGCAGGGGCAGCTGTAGGATGACACAGAGAAGCTGGGGGCTGAGGGGCAAAGGAGAGGGGTTAAGGGTGACACACAGGAGCTGAGGGCTGGGGGGCAGAGGGACGGCTTGAGGGGTAAAGGGAGAGGCCTTGAGGGCTGGAGAGTGGAGATCAGGGGTACAGGGTACATGTACCACCCCTCCCCCCAGCCCTAACCTCAGCCTAACCAGCCCCCCTAAAAACAGCCTTTTCCCCCAACAGCAGCACAACACAGCAACCCTGACAGCGAGACCAGACAGCAACCCTCACACACCAGGTCAATGACAGAACGCTCAGAGGACAATAGACCCACTGCAAAAAGGTAGGGGTGACGTCTGTGGGCTAGACAGCAAGAGGTTCGGAGACTGAGCACGTCTTTTTGAGTTTTTTTCCTAGGATTTTTAAAGGTATTTAGGAGATTTTGGAAGAGACTTTTCTGGGACTTTTCAGGGTATTGTTGGGGCTTTTTCAAAGCCATTCTATGATTCTTTAGCATATTTTGAAGATTATGGTCAGGGTCAGAGGAAACACCCTCTGAAAAGGCAGAGTTTTAGGACTGCAGTGGAATGCTTTAGAAAGGGGCCAGCGGTGGCACAGCGGGTCGGGTCCCACACTGCCAGTCCAAAGGTTGTAAGTTTTAGACCCAGCTAAGTTGTTGTGGTTAGGGTTAGATGCTCTCAGGTTTGGTCTGGGAGAATTTCTGCACAGAAAAACTCACCCCCTGAGTTTCCCGATGCCAGTTTGCACTAGGAGGTGCTTGGCACTGCCAGGGCAGCCCGAGTTCTCGGTGGGGGCAGCTTTGCTCCTGGAGAAATCCTGCGCCGGCCCTCTTCCCTGTAAAACCAAACTCACTCCTGCTGCGTGTCGACGTCCATCCGCAGGAGGCACGTGGCACTGCAAGGGCAGCCAGAGTTCTTGGTGTCAGCAGCTGCGGGCTGTGAGAAATTGTTCTCTGCAGTTTTGGAGGCCGAATCGCAGTTTCAGCCATGGGCACACAGAGAGGAAAGGCTGTTAATTTCCTTAGAAAGGAAAGTCTGGCACTCCATGGTTTAAGGGGCAGACGAAGGGCTGTGTAGGGGAAGGAGCTCCTCACAGGACCTTTCTTCACCTCAACACCCACTCCAAGGTCTAGCAGCCCCCCGTGTGACCAGCTGCTTTCAGAGGGTTACCCGGGCACACCCGCACAGGGAACTGCTAGGCCAGAGGGGGTAACAGGGGTATCCCAAGCGTCTCTCCAGGAACTATGGTCGGAGCATCCAGCACGGACTAGGGAGCAGCCAGACCCACCCGGGCACAGAGCATCACTTTGAGAAAACGCCAAGGGAAGAGCCCTTTTGCCAAGGGGCAGCATCTGAGCAGGCCAGGCAGCATGTGGGGTTCCAGGAGAGGGCTTTCAACTTTCCCCTTTTACTGTGTCAGTCCCTCTCCAAAGCCCCAGACCCTCCAGAGCAGTCCCAGAAAGAGAAGGGTTATTAGGAGAAAAAGGGTTTAGAAAAAAGGGAAAAAGCTTCCTTTTCCATTATTTTTTGTGTTCAAACTGGTAGGGACTTGGATTCCCCTGCAATTTTAATGGTCTCAGTTGAAAGAATCCCTGCCTTTTCTATGCTGTTAGAGGTGTTAATTGACAGGGAGTCCCCATTCTGTATTATTTGGCAGTTTAAAAAGAAGGGGAAAATCTTGACAATATTTCTTATGGGTTTGAATTAAGGGTAGCCACCCCCTTTTTGTTGTCCTGAGGCCCAAATTGAGGGAGAAGGCCAGCTATCCCTCCATCCTAAGGGTTTGAACTGAGGGAAAAATCCTTCTTTTTTCATCACTGGAGAGATTTAAAGTGTGGAAAGCCCCTCTTCTCTCAATATTTAAGGAGAGCAAATTAAACAGCAGAAACTCTTTATTTGCCATTGTATTACCTTCAGTAGAGGTAACTGCCCCATTTCCTCTTTTTCTGGAGTTCACTGGAAGGAAGCTCTGCCTTTTTCAGCATTTTAAGGGTTTAAAACTACATTTCAGGACACTTCTTTCTGTGCTGTAGGACCAAGTATCTCAGAGAAGGATGAGCCTGACATGCACTTAACCCTTACACTGCCTGGGAG